TTGTTTAGCTGATTATCTAACATGTGAACGACTTGACCAGATGATGTAATAAAGAAAGCTTCAACCTTCTGCCTTTTTTAAATTACTTACAAATACTACAAATATTATTTGTAGTAATTGAATAATTACTAATATATCAATTTAAAAACTAATATTAAAAAACGACAAAGCGTAGAAAAAAATTCGTTGCAAAAATTCCCAAGGAACTCGAGACCGTTGACAAAAAAGGTCTAGCCCTCAATCCATAAATAAGTTCCTGAGAATCGGTGGGACTCAATCAAATGCCCAATATGAACCGGCCCTTACACAGCATCCCACTCACACACACTTCCACACACACACACATTTACACGACACACTAACCCTTGCCAAAGTAGCTGTTGCTGAATTTGATACATCTTTCTTTTATACACGGAAACCAGTTTGCACGTGTACGTTTCCAGCCAAATTAAATTTACAGCTGTCAGAAATTTTAGCTACGTGAAACGACACCTCCTTATACACAGTTCCTTCTCTGTTTGTGCCCAGTAACGCTTCGGGCCAAACGCAAATATATCTTTGCAATGCCTCTATCGTACACTCGTCAGAGCGCATTTGTGTTGGCTTTCCCTGAAAATGGCCGCCCACTAAGTGCGCATGCGTTGAAATGCAAACGTACCTTTTCGCTTTAAAAACACTTCTTGAAGTTCCTCCTTATGAGGAATGGTGTTATTGAATAGCAAATGAAAATTTGCTTTCCCGTCATGGCGCGCTTTTGAAGTTAGTCTTGGGAAAGGTAAAGGATACTCGTGTAAAGTCACATGTACAAATATCTGCATACTTTGGTGTACACATATATCACTCGAAATTACATAGTGTTCTTTTATGTAGGAATATTTAAAGAGATACTTACACAAAATTTGATTTTTTTTTAAATTATTGTAAGCTGAAATTGCTGGATGAAAACCCTATCAGACGGTGTAACTTTTGTAATACAAGTTTTGAAGATATTGTGTTTTTCGCACAATGTAACGTCCCTTCTGTGAAAAGGAACTCCGAATTGTGTTATTAACTTTTATAAAGACAAGTTTTATACGGTATTGCAAACTTCCTTACGGCGAAATGAGGTGAGATTTATTCTGATGCAAATATTTGTATATTTGTATACAATTTTTGTTCAACGAATCAGTTTGGGAGTTATTAACCGGTTAATATTATTAAAATATGGTTCGTGTCCGTAGGCTATGACTCTAGATTCCCTACACGTGACTCCTGGGTAGTGCCAAATGAGCAATTGATTCCTTAAGATCTCAGGTCGTGAGGCTTTACGATAGTCTCACGTAATATCCAAATATTGCCTAGCTTGGTGGCAGAGCCCCTCATAGGACTCGACTGGTTAGCGACCACACTCGCTCGGAGTCTGTCGCAAAGCACCTTTAGGTGTGTTCCGACTGTGCGTGCAGGTACCAGCTCCTCCCTCCCGATTGCCACAGTCTCACCAGTTCTCGGCTCGCATGATCCTGTAACCCTGCTTTGCTGCGCTGAGCGTGCCGCTTTAACGTGGGAGCCAAGGAGACCCGGTGAAATGGCCGCCCGCTGGTACGTAGAGGACCCGAACCCGGGCCTGTCCCAGCCAGGGAGGCTGTCCTATCGCCAGTGATAAAAACGTACGCATTGGTCTTCGAGCCGGACTGGGACCCCGGGGTGTGCATGTATGTTCGGGATGATATCTGCTGTCGCCGTCGTGGCAGTTTCGAAGACAGGGACCTGTCTCTACTCTGGGCGCGTGTTGATTACGGGGGCCACACCTATATCTACGCGTGCCTGTACAGGTCTCATAGCGGAGACCCGGAAACTGATCGATTCCTAAGGTGCATCTAAAAGGGACTCGGCGAAATCCTGCAACAGCTTCCCTCAGTGAAGGTGTTGATTCTCGGCGACTTTAACGCCCACCACATGGAGTGGTTAGGATCAGCACGTACCGATTATAAAGCGAGAGCTGTGCGCGACTTTGCCGCTGCATATCCGCTCACGCGATACATGCAGCCGTAGACGCATACCACACCTAGAGGTGCCGGTGATGATTTTACACCGATTTATCGGATCTCGAAGTTATAACAGGTAAAAAAACCAATATTAATTGCTATTTCGGTAACTACTCTAGCAAACCATAAAGTTTTTAATGCCTGGGTCTGTCATTTAAAAAAAATAAACAACTTCAAAAATAGTCACGACAATCGTGTGTGTTATTGTTTGGGCTGGTGATTTCGGTGTTTATTTATTGAAAACATACCGTAAGTAGCGTTTTTTAAGTTTACCCTGAATATAAATGTTTATAAACTATACTTTAAGGAGTAATTTCATGGTAAACGTTAGAACCACTCAAACGGAATATTATCATATTTATCCAAGAACACCAAACATTTCATTAGTGCTTTTTAAGTGCAGGATTTGCGGTGTATTACTGCATCTTATTTGAGATGTTTTTGTTGGTAGTACGGAGGGTATTTATTTAGCAATGCAAAATAATAATTTTTATTTATAAAAACTTGTATTTAAACTGAATGCTTTTCCAATTTGCGAAACCAAATAGCCGCCATTTTGCGGTAGGAGGAGCGCATTGCGTGAGCGGATATGACCTCACACAGTTAGTCGATGGTCCAACCAGAGTACCGGACATTGAAGGTCATACCCCTGGTTTGCTGGACCTAATGCTGACGTCTCACTCAGACGGCATTCGGGTGTCCCGCTATGCCTGCATGGGAACATCTGATCATCTACTGATCCGTTCTGAGGTGAGTGTTACCCATGCCAGACGCCCCCGACCAGCTGTGAGGAGTCGTGTTTGGCCTTATGTGAGGTCAGCTGATTGGGTGTATTCTACGCCGGCTTCCCATGGAAGCAATTGAGCTTCTCTTCGGACGATCCTGACATCTGCGCAGCATCCATTGTCGAGGCGATACTGTGGGGCATGGAATGCTTTATTCCAAACTCTGCAGTGCGCGTCGGTGGCCGCTCTCAACCTTGGTTTGGTAGGTCTTTTGCTGAAGCTTGAAACGCTAAGTGCATGGCCAACCGGGCTTGGGCTGTTGCGTCAGGCGCCAAGGACCCACAAACTTCCAAATTGAAGCAGAAATTTAACGCTGCCTCCAAGTCCTGCAAAAGGGAAATTACCGCTGCAAAGTTTGCGCATACTTGCAAAATTGGCGAAAAACTAGTTGGCTATCCATCGGGCAGCCGTGCCTTCTGGTCCCTCGCCAAGGCTGTTCAGGGAAACTTTTGTCGAATCTCACTACCACCATTGCGCAAGCCTGATGGTTCACTGGCTCATTCCGCTAAAGACAAAGCTGATCTCCTATACTCTCTTTTTGCATCGAAGTCAACTCTTGACGACGAGAGTAACTCACCGCCTACTATCCCGCAATGTAAGTACACAATGGCCGAAATTCGTTTCACGCTAAATGCGGTACGGCGTGCTCTTTTTGCCCTCGACGTCATGAAGTCCAGTGGGCCCGATGGCGTTCCCGCTATTGTGCTCAGGACGTGCGCTCCCGAGTTGGCTCCGGTCTTAACGCGCCTCTTCTCGTTTTCGTACCACTCAGGTAAAGTCCCATCTTCATGGAAGATAGCCTGCGTTCACCCCATACCCAAAAAGGGTGACAGTACAGACCCGTCCAACTATCGACCTATAGCGATAACCTCTTTGCTCTCCAAGGTAATGGAGCGCGTGATAAACAACCATCCGGTCGGATTCGAACCGACGTCTTCTTGCATACCGTGCCAGACGCTATGCCAACTAAGCCACGGAACGAACCAACGGACCTCACGAATTTTTGTATGTGCTTGCGTCGTGTCTTTGTACTTGGTCTTTCAACGACTTTTTAGTCGTAGCGCCATCTATGAGAAATCTATTACAGATTTATCACCCAGTTAGTACCTTTACATCCGACCGGATCGAAGGATTTTTTTCTGAGTGTTCGATCTTTGTATTAATAATTATCTTACGGACTTCCAAAACGGCTGTGCACTTGGATCGCCAGCTTCCTGTCTGATCGGAGTATAAAAGTCGCTGTCGACGGATTGTGCTCGGACACCATGCTCATCAACGCGTTCCGCAAGGATCTGTGCTATCACCAACCCTGTTCGTCCTGCATATTAATCATATGTTATCAACTAGTACCTTTCATTGCTATGAGGATGACAGTACCGGTGATGCTTATTATACAGATCGCACAAATATGCCCCACCAGTAAGTGGAAGAAAACAGACTGCAACTTGTGTCCAAAATCGAGACTCTTTGGAGCAGATCTCAGAATGGGGAATCTAGTACAATTTAAGGCCGACAGAGCGCTGCGCTATATGTACTCACC